AAAACCCGAGCTAAAGAAGCTAAGCGCGACCTCAGATCAAAGACTAGTAAGCTTGTGGTGAAGGAAATGAGTCTCGGGTCTCCCTATTTATAGCCACTATACCGGAGAAGCAACGATCAAAATCAAAGCAATCCAACAGCTCCTGAGAAAACCGGTTGCACGACCCTCGAGATCAAAATCAGTTTAGCGCATTTTTTGGCATCCGCAGAGCCTATAGATCGCTTGACATCCGCGCATAAACTGCATGCGACCCATCTGATAGCAGCAAGACTTTGAGCCAAATCTACTTGGCACATCGTGAACTCCTCAAACCAGGTCAAGACCCCTAACTCAAGGAGTGGGGGGCAATTGATGAAGGAGAATTTGGCCTGACCTTGTGATAGGGAGACACGTGGACGTGACTCGCATAAGCGACAACTCGACGTGATCAGATCAGCACGTGGACGTGACTCAACACGGGTGATAGCTCAGCATGAGTAAGCTCGCTACAAAGCGAGCTCGGGTAAGCTGGTACCCAAAATTAAAGTCACTTCGAACTAAGATCGTCTCGGTAACAGATCACGACAAACGAAACCAAGTTCGTTACAGATCATGCCCGGACAGGCGGATCACCTCGGCCCCAAGGAACTTCGGCATTTGTATCAGGGCAGACCTAAGGAGCACAAGCTCGAGGAGCTCGCTACCAGTCAGCTCGCCATCGAATAGCTCGGTATCCTACAAGCGACTCGCCTACCGTTCAGACCTCCGAATGGCAACCTCGAGGAGCGCACTACAGTACTCTGCGTTCTACAGTGCCATACCTCGTAATGGTCACATTAGTTCATCAACTCCCCAGTTCTGACAGGAATGGACAGTATTACCGTTTGACAGCGTGAGATAGTATTACCGTTTGACGGGTGGGACAGTATTACCGTTTGATGGCATGTGACAGTATTACCATCTGACGGGCGGGACAATATTACCGTTTGACGGCGTTTCGCCCACCTAACACGCAAGCAAGTCCCATCACAGCTGGGATCTGGTGACTATTCCACCAAACCGCATGGTCCCCAGTATGTAAAGACTCTGCCCCCCCCCTAGGGGCGAGGTACATTCTATTCTTATTGTTGTGTGTGTAATCTTCGCTCTCTAGCTCTCTCACTGTTATCATCTTCAAACTCTCTATTACTACTGTGCTCTAACTTAACCATCGGAGTATCCTCGCCGAGTGAGCGACCCCGGGATCTCTGACTCATCTCTTTCAAGAGCTTAGTCCTCGTCGTTGCTGGCAGCCAGATCACATCCAGCAGGGAGCAGCCGGATTACGACACATCACATGTATATATTCTTCACTTAATTGCATCTTATTTAAGATTACTTGGTGCAATTGATTAGTTTAGTTGTTAAATTAATCATTTTATAAAACTACTCTTCTTGCACACACACACAAAGTTTCCCATTCCGCTACATTTATTTTCAATGTTTTGAAGAAGGCTTAGATACAATTTTTGGGGAAGTTTTAACACATACTCAATTCACCCCCTCTTGGTATTATTATTATTTTAATAAATACTTCTGAAATAATTTAGGAAAATTATTAAATCTATCCACACCAGTGTAGACCACTTGATTGACTTCAACCATACTTGGTTTTACATTAATTAACATCAAATGATTTACTTTTAATTAAAATTAATGTAATTTGCCATAATCATATTAATTTAATATAATTACATCAATTTTATTAATAGTAAATAATTTACATTAATTCATATTAATTTATTGTTATTGTAAATAACTAATTTAGTATACATTTTTTCCAATCAACAACAATTTCAATAATTTTTGGAAATTATTATAAAATATTATAATTTATTGGTAATTAATTAGTTATAGAAAACTATTATAATTGTAGGGATCGCAATTTTCCCTATAAAACTAGGGCCCTACCTTACCCCACCTCGAATGGGGTAAGTTTTCTCGAATTTTAAATAGGGATGAGGAAGAGACAAGGTGGAGATGGGGAAAATATTTTTGCTCCAAATCATGGACAAGGAAGGGATGGGATTTGCATATAATTCCCTAAATCCGATGGTAAATTAGTAAAATATCAATAGATTTAATATTGATTTTTAAAATATCTCTAAGTTTTCCTCATATTCTTATAATCCTTGGATCCCACAATTTTATTTATAAAATACCCCTTGTTATAATCAAATTCCTAAAATACCCCAGATTCCCATATTGATTTTTAAAATATCTCTAAGTTTTTCTTGTATTCTTATAATCCTAGAATATCACAATTCTATTTATAAAATACTCCCAAATTTCTATAATCCTATTTGTAAAACATTTACAAATTAGATTATTTTAAGGTAGTTGTCTCGAAATGCTTGATTGCTCATACATTTTTCGCAAGGAGCCTGTAAATCTGCAATCTGAAATCAGATTGCTGTTTATATATTTTATGTAAAATACATTGACCAGGTCAACATTTCTTATTATAATCAAGCATTCCGAGAAAACCATTTTTGCTTTCAAGCCCCCTGAGCTGATGCTAAATATTATATATGGGCTGTTGGCAATCAACCATGGCCGATGTCGGTATACTTTTGATTTCTTGCAGCCAGACTTTTAATGGTAACACATTTGCCTGTATGATTTGCCTTGGCTTCACATCAAAACCACCATTTCCATTTATCTTTCCCTCTCTATCTCTCTCCTACCACCTTGATCTGCACGTACCTCCGCTGCCTTCTGTGGTTCTTGCCTGTTGGAACTTAAATCTCACGTCCCATCACCAAACAAAGCCCCAAACCAAAGTCTAAAAGGGGTTCCATATTTTCATCTCATCCCAAGGAGAATACCCACGGAGAGAACTGTTCTCCTCAGCAGGATTCCATCACCATTACTCTAGGGCTTCAACCGAACTAACTCCTCCTGGGGAGGGACGAGAAGAAGAAAAAGAAGGAAACCATCAATTTCGCATGTCACCCAACGTCAATATCAACACTCCATACACAATTCATCTCTCTCTCTCCAACTCTCTGTTACAATCTCCTTCTCTTGTCTCTCATCACAGTCATCCAAAGCAAAGCCTTTGGCTTTGGCTTTGGCTTGTGGTAGGGTTAGCAGATCGCAAGAGTCCTGCCCGAGTCTTAACTCCGTCTAACTCACGTTAATGGTACGGGCAGAGAAAAAGTCACAAACAATCATCATCATTGCACATTTTGACAGCAAGCGTTGCACGCCTTTTCCTTCTCTTCACTTTCCCACCCTCATCCTCACTCCTCGTGTTTCTCTCCTCCGTCACGGTCTTTCTTGTGAAGACGTACGTCCTTGAGAATCCGTAAATCACTCTGTCTGTTTCCTTTCTTTCTCGGAAACGAACATATCTGAAGCTTCTCCATTTATTTTCTTTCCTGTCGGCTCGAACCCCCCCCAACCTTTCCCTTCCATCCATTTTTTTTCTATTCACCCTATTCATGCATGTTTGTCCTTTGAATTTGCCACCTGGCGCTTGTTGGACGTTGCTATCTGTCAACTTTCTATGCATACTTCTTCCTTTTGTGGGACCATCTGTTTTCCAAGTCAAACTGCCCCTTGAGTCAAAGTCTCCCACGTGCCACCAGGTGAGAGGCTGAGAACTTGCATGAAGCATGATCATTTCCCGGCCGATATTTTGAACAAGGATTATCTGAACTCACTTGGGGGTTGGGATTATCATGTGGGATTTTTTTTTATCGTCGAGTGGGGGCCACTCATGTAGCTCGTGGGTCCTACTTCCCTTCACGAGGTCGGAGGTGTTATGATGATGATAATGGGTCCATATGGGTCACCAAGCAACCAAGTGAACTGTGGAGGGAGTACTATGTCCCATGGGGTTGGTGGCTATACGTCTCTGATTGATTTTCTGCAACGCTAGGGTTACGAATTTTTTTTCTCTTTTTACCTCTAGGAGTAGGAGATTCATCTTATAACGTACTACGTCTGGAATATTAAATTACTTCGCAGTGGGTTCCTCAAATATTTTGTTTAATTAGGAGCTGCAACGATGACTATCAATGTTCCAGTTACGTGATGGATAATGCATTTGTAGGGAAAACTGGAAAATATATTCGTGTGCTTAGCTTTACACAAAGATCAAATCATCGACGACTCGATGTGGGAGTGGGTCCCTTGGCTCTTGCATGTTGGCCACATTTACCGGTAAATTGTAGCTGAAGGTTGATTTGGTCCACTAATCGCTTCAACTGACGACTGATGTAGAGAAAAAGCCCTGAACAGAATCAACCATCAGATTTTATCGTTCTTTTTGACCAATTTTATTGATTATATTTCGTAATCTTCAGATGTTTCTGAATCTAAAAGACTACCATGAACCCATCTCATCTGCACAAATATTTCAACGTTATTTCTGTGCTTTTTATAATATTTTGGGACTAAAGAAAGACTAGATGATCTCTGGCTCGTTCTCTTTGCTTTTTTTCCTTTCCCATCTTTCTCTTCTCTTTTCATTCTCTATGTTAAAAAGTGTAAACTTTCTCTGAACTTTCTCTGCATCAACTCTTCTTTTTTTCTTTCATTTTTCGTTTTCAACCTGGGTTCCGAGGACATCAGTCCCGAAGGAAACTAAGGAAGGAATGTCTCGGAATGAATCGATGCAAAGCGATTCGTCCAAATTCAGAACGCCCCACTCTGCTCTTCAGACTCTAGAGGTACTGGGAATCTCTCTCTCTCTCCAAACCGTAGTAAACCCTTATATCTGAACAGTGCAGGTGCAACTGTGCAACGACAACAGCAAACCCACCAAGAAAGAACAAATTAAGCCTCGGAAACCAGCGAAAACTCCCCCAACTCGTCTACAATTCCGTGCTGGTTTTAATCCCAAGACACAAGCCGAGCAAAGCAAATTAGATAAAACGTTACAAATAAATATTTTTATTTTATTATCTGTATTCTGAAATAAATAAAAACTAGAAAAAAAGGACTTTTGTTTTGATTTTATGTGGTTTGGTATGAACAGGAAAGTTTTCTTTTGCCGTTCCATAAAGGGCCAAACCGGACCCAGATCCATCCATCTTTTACCAAGCAGGTGCACAAAGCAGCACCGGCGTAAAGTAGCATGCATCCATGGCCTCTTCATGTCCCAACAACTTCCCCCTCTACCACCACCATCACCAACTCTCAGACCAAGACGCAGAAGCAGCAGCAGAAGAGGACGAGGACAACATGCTCGAGCTCGGTCTCGGGCTTGGCCTGGGCTTGACCCAGTCCCGTACAGAAGACCATATTGGGTCAAGCTCGGCTTCTGCCTCTGCCTCCGCCTCTGCATCTTCTCCTTCACCATCATTTCAGTTAGGGTTAGGGTTAGGGTTTGGGAATGAGGCTGTCAGAAATAGTAGTAATAGTGGTAGTAGCCTAGCTATGCAGCCGGCTTGTAATCATGGTGGATGGTGGAATCAGCCTCATGGTCATGACCATCATCATGATGGGCCATCATTAACGTTGCTAACATCTCCAGCATGGCCATGGCGCCTGGATTCAGACGGATTTCTGCACCCAGAGAACCTGCAGCTGCCTGTTCCCAAGGCCACTCATGATTACCGCCGGAGATCGGAACTGGGGTTGTGGTTTAGCCTCCGTTCTTCTGTTAACCAGTGAGTGGTTCTTAATTTCTTATCATCTTATCATTGTTTATTAGTTTTTCTCTGAGAAAAAACAAAACAAGATAGACTACTTAGCTTGATCATGGTTCACACTAGCAGGGAAGGAGAAACGCTGCCACAGATTCCAAAGGCGTATATTAGAGTCAAGTAAGTTGTGCGAATTAGAATTTTTATTTGTATAATCATGTCTTTGGGTTTTCTCTTTTCTTCTTCTTAATGATGATATTCAGATAATTGAGCTTAAAGCTATCTATTTTTTATTTTATTTTATTTTTTTACTTTTCCTTTTCTTCTTTTCTGGCTGGAATTAAAGGGACGAGAACGTGACTGTTTTCATGGTGAAGACGTACCTGGTTACAAAGCTTGGTCTTACCAACGAAGCTGAGGTAAGAAACCATACAGAGAGACTGGACGCTTCTTCTTTGCTACATGCATGCTTGATGTGTTTAGATCGTTATTATGTTACGTGGGTTGTTTTTAGTCTTTGTTTAGACTTGTTTACACGTGGAATACATGCAGAGGTGGTAGGGTCCATAAATATGAGATCGTAGCCGTTCATTCTACTGCACTCGATGAACTTATAGGGTAGGACTCTGTATAAACACCCAGAGTTATGAAAGAAGGAAAACGAGATGAAACTTCAATGCTGGGAGCAAAAAACCCAGACCCCATTTGTCTCCACCGTGGTTGGTTGAGATATCGAAGTCTAGTTGTGATAATTACAGAAAAGAAAACACAAACTCAAGCAAAGAAATGTAAAAGAAAGAAAAGAAAGCACAACTAACAACAATGATTTTCCTGCACTTGGACTTACTTGGAGAGATGGGTTTAAGTTTTAAGTATTCGTGTTTGATTTGAAAGCTAGAACTCAGTCTAGCTAGTTGGGTGGGTATGATTATCTGCTTAGGTGTGGTGTTTTGGAATCATCGACTCTAGTTGGGTGTGGTTGGTCAGTGGCTGTGGAACCAATAAGATGAGTTCCTGGAGTGTCACCTTTCATACGTTTGTGATAGTTTCTACTCCAAGAAATGTGGTAGTTGGGTGTTTTTGTGATCACAATCTAACTACAGGAAACCTGAATGACTGTATTCGGGTGAGGAACCCACTTGGGATATATTCAGAAGATTAATGTATACTTCACACCATGAACTCTCTCTCTCTCTCTCTCTCTCTCTCTCTCTCCTATACTGGGGTAGAAGGGTTGCAGAAACTTTTACTGTAATGAATGATTCTGATGAAGAGCTTCATCTAATACCCCATATACCTAGAGCTTCATCTAATACCGCTCAGTCTTTTGCATGAGTTTGGTTCCTCTTGAAGCATCATTTTCTCAAAAAATCCATAAATTTTGAGAACTGGCGTTTTTAATATTTCTTAAGCGTGCGTATCAATTGTATATTTGTATACCAAAGGCAAAGCTATAAGATTCAAACCCTGGTTTGAAGAGTAAAAACATGAGATTTCCACCAGTTAACCACCAAGTTTGTTTTATGAATTTTTGTTCTATTTGGCTTTCCTTATTGATACGTACCGTTAATTGTTACTCAGAAACATTTGATGGATAAAAGGGGTCCGACCAATCTAACCATGGAGAGACCTGGGTTCTACCTATAATTGCAACATTCAATTTATCTGTCTGACTTTTAAAATATTTAGTTTGAGCCTTCTGACTCTTATCTAATCATGTATTCTGGCCATTTAGTTCTCATTGGGACTCCTCAGGTTGGACATACACATTTTTGAATAGTTGGTTAGGTCTAGAATTTAGAAAGAGTATAAAACTCTAGAATTTTTCAAAGTAGCATTGCTACTATATAATATTTAAATTAGGTTCATAGTCTTATACTCTTTCTATTTCTCCATATCTAATTCCATTTTTTTATTAGAATTAGAATGACATAAATTAAGTTGGTATTCCTAGTTGGCTTTCTATTTTTTTAATCTCCATAAATCTGCTGTGTTTAGTCCAAAGTAAGTAGGCTTATGTTTCCAAGTGAGATATTTAATAGTGTTAGAGCATGCTTATTGTTTACTTTTTGTTCACTCTTCCTATTAGATAGTACTCCTTTCCATCCTTGTTCTTGGCATTTTATTTTTTTGTTTTACTTGTTATTCCAATTCTATCCTTTATAATCCTTAATGTTAATAACTACCATTATGATGATAACCTGGTTTCTTTTCAGAAGATTCTGTCTAGTTGCTCATCTCAACAAGTTGTTTCTTTCAACAGACTGCTTAACCAAGTGTTCATCACTTGTCCATATATATAATATTAATAATTTCCATATAATATTCATTGTTTATATAATAACCTGAATAGGGTTTTCTCATGCATGTACATATGTTTCATTTACCCAAGTTGTCAAAATTCTCTGAGTCCCTTAGATTCACCTAGGCGCGGTATGGAATTATTGGCCTCAAGCTGACTATTTTGTTTTATAATAATTTAATTTAGTTTTCTCAAGATGGTACTAGTTGTGAGAACTTTTGAAATGGCATAAATATTTTTTTCACCTAACCAAGGTTCAAAGTATCGATACGTATTGGCCCGTATCAACCAATATGTATTGTGCTGATGGCTTTCCGATACGCCCCTCCAGGGGTTGTATCGGTCAGACACTGGTTCAGAGGGTAGTTGGGACTTAAACCAACCCCTCTGAACCAGTTTAGAAAAATAAATAAATAAAACCTAAAAAAGAGTACCGATACCGGCTGATACGCCCTGAGTATCAGGGAAAATGTGACGCTACTTGGTTATTATCTGAATATTCAGTAACTACTTTTCCACATGATTAAAATTTGTGATCTTAAATGAACCTCAGAAGTATCTATTCTCCCTATTGGCTTTGAAGGGTATAGTTTAGGAATGTGTTTTCATGTTATAGAACTTTTGAATTATGTTACTGGATATATAGAAACCATAAAATAAAAAGATATATATCAAGAGAGTCTTGAAAGAAATTGCTTAGAAACGAGAATTTTCCATGATCTAACTAAACATTTATATAGTATATAAATACAAAAAGAAAATAAATGTAAATAATATGAGTACTACCAACAGTCATTGTGAAGATAACAGGAAGTGGCATGATTAGACTATACAGAAAATGTCAAAACCAAACACTAGGAAGTTCTTTTTGTGACAGTGGAGATCACCCTATGAGTATGTTCATGAATAAAATGCTTGTGTTTGTGCCTTTGGCTTTGGTCCAAACATGTAGCAGAATGCTTTGATCATATTGTAATAATAAAGTTTAAGATGAAGTGGAGCTTGTACAAACCACAGTTTTTAGAATTTTATAAAACCTAAAGAAACTCAGGAGCAATGGTGTTCAAGCATAGATCAGTTCTTAGCTACCGCGTGCTTGATATACTAAGGCTTCATTTGGCATTCCTTATTTGAAAGACTTGTCTCCTTTCTGCAGTTAAAAATTCATTGTTCATTAGGGGTGTTTTAACTGCAAAATGGAGATAAGTCCTTAAAATAAGGAATGCCAAATGCAGCCTAAGTACTGAGCTGCTTATAAATAAATTAATGTCCCATGGTGGCTTTTTCTGTCTTGGAGAGACTTGTCTGATGTAAGTAAGGTCCCCATATTAAAAAAGTAGACAAAAGAAGCTGGAATCAGTGAAAATGCCAGGAGCTGGACATGGAGTTGATTGAAACATCTTATGACTGTTAAGAGGGGTTGATTAGAGGTGATCAAATGAGATGAAAAATAATTGTATTTAAGTTGTAATATACCATGATATGAAAGAAAATGTATAAAGATTAAAATCATTGAAAGCAGGAAAAAAAAAATGAGAGTGGGATTCTCCATTAATTAGGGTCTAATTTTTAACATGAAAACCAATAGGAAAGCTTTGTAACACAATACAATAATAGATTAATTAACTATTCAACCCTTAGCATGTGCATCAAAATGTGTCTGAAGAGAATTTTAGAGATTTTTACAGTGTGTTTGGTTCAAAAGAAAAAGTAGGGAAAGGAAGGGAAAGGCAGGGAAACCTATACAAGGTTTGTAAGGGTTTTTCTATCTATCCCTTTCTTTTCCTGGATTTTCTTTCAAGCCAAACACAGCCTTGATAATGAGTTTTCTCCCATTCTTATTGAAAATAATTTACATACCTTTGCTATATATCGACATTTTTTGTAAAATGGTGCTTGTTGGAAAAAGGTAAACCAAAAAAAAGAAGAAAAAGAGGAAAAATGAACAGTTGCTTTGCAAATGAAGACAAATTGCCAGTGTTCTGGGGACAATTTATTCCTGACATTTTCCTTTCACTGAACGTAAATGTAATGGACTGATGAACAGTTGATACAGAAGAGTAATCATTTTGAGTATGACTTCGCTGTCATAAAACAGAAGACAAAGAAAGAAAAAGGAAGGAAGAAAATAGGGGAAAAAAGTAATTGGACTACTCTGTCGAAAATAAGAATTTTCCCGTTTGGTTTCTAGATGTAGCATATTCGATCATTCTATGATACAGGAAATCTATCGAACAAATAAACTTTACCGAGGAAGAACACGAGGAAAAGGTGAAATTCTGTTAAAGCTGTCTTGCTAATTTCCAGCAAATCTGTCATTTTGTACTTGGGGGAAATTTGTCTTAAATGCATTAGTGACTAAATGTTCTCTCTCTTTTATCTTTTTTTCTTTTTCCTCGTTTTTTTTTTTTTTTTTGTTAAAATCAGAATCTTATGACGGGAAAGTATTCACATAGGTGAAAGAACTTGTATGTTTCTTGCAGTTATCCGGTTTCTTATTCTAACCAAAGAGCAAATAAAATTACTACAAGAAAATCAAAATATTTTGTTTATTCAGATGCTGCATAAGCATTTTCAATAACTCCATTTTGAATAGTTCTTTTTATGAGTTATTCGAGCTCAGTTCATGAATAGATTTGGTCTAAACCTTGATTTGAGTTAAGCTTGAACCCTATATATATTCGTGTTTGCTAATTTAGGTAATTAATATTTTTAAAATTTTATATGTATAATAATGAATATTTTTGTGGATAGTTTTTTTTGTTTAATTTTTTATTTTTATATGAAACTTGGTGCCTTGTCAAGCTCAAACTCAAGTTTACTTTTGTCGAACCTCCTGTTCAATGTCAAACTAAGATTCAAAATATCGATATGCCCGATATGCTGATAGAGGTGTATCAGGCTGTATTCTTAGTTTTTTTTTTTTTTTTTTATACACCCTTTGTAAGGGTGAATTGGGAAGTTCTCGTTATGATACATATTTGCCGATATCAGGCAGTATCAGTAGTTTTTTTAATTTTTTTTTTCAAATTATGTTCAGTGGGGCCGGTTTAAGGCTTTTCCACCCCCTGAACCGGTCAAAACCCCGATAAACCCAAGACAGTTGAACCTTGGGTCAAACTGCCTTTATTTCTTTTGTATTTAATAAGAAAAGAGTATATTGAAAGAAAATATAATTACAATCAACCCTAACTCACGAAAAAAAGAATCGGGCAGCAAGGTCAACACACGCAACAAAAGGAATCAGGCTTTATCCACAAAGAAGCCACAGTCAGCCCACTTCACACAACAACCTCCAAACTCGAAAACAAAAAAGAAAAAAAGAAAAAAAAAAACACAGACCCCCTTTAGTCAAGTGAAGTTGTCTACAACCTATTCAATCGTTGGCCTCATTTTTACTGTCTGACTTGCATTTCATTATAATCTATTGTTAAGACTGTGTCACAAATTCTATATATCTGTTTAATTGTTCTGACATTGCTTTTGCTCCTTGCTTTTGTATAAAATCCACGTATGTAAATCACTGTTTTTTAACTTAACACAATTTCTTCCTCACATTTCTGTATTGTACATACACGCGCCTAAATTGTTTTAATAAAATTTTCAACTAGAATGTGAGTAATTAAATAATGTATATCACTATTTGTTTTGTTTTTATATTTCAAAGCGCTTCCTCCATTGGTCATTCGGTCCTTCTTGTCACCATGTGATCATAAAAAATTTCCTGTGCTACAACCGAGGTTTCTATTTTTTTTTTTCTTAACTCATATTTTATGGGGTTCAAATTAGGCCTAGTTTGGAAGGAATACAATACAAATATGTAGAGTACGCAAAATAATATAAAATATAAGGTTTTTCGTTCTACATATTTGTATTTGTTCTCCTTCCAAACGAGTCTAAATGTCATTCAATGATTTCTGTTTTTGAGAAAAAGAAAGAAATTGAAAGGTGTATCTGTGAGCTGTCGATATGATATTATATACCCGATACAGGGTATCTTATTGAAACTTGGAACCTTAACTGGAATTAGGAGAATCAAATGAGCATGCTTTCCCTAGAAGTTCAATTGATCCTTTTACATGGTGAACATAGGGCTCTGGCCCATTGGGAAATTTACGAACTCCAAGTCTAAACTCAACCCGACTCAAATCGCACTCTTAATTAACCATAAGGCTGTGTTTGGTGGCAGTGCAATTTTATTTTCACTAGTATAAATGCATGGAATCAAGGTTCAAAGTATAGATATAGGGTTGGGCATATCGGCCTGTACGGTTCAGAGGGGTTGGTTTAAGGCCGGTCTACCCCCTGAATCACTTGCCCACCTGAAACATCCCTTGTAGGGGGCTATACATACCATCCTGATATCAATACTTGAACCTTTCATAGGAGTGTAAATGAAGGTAATGCAAATTTTGGTTTAATTTTGTTGTGGTGTTGCATTATTTTGGTGTGAGTCTTGCTTTAATTCATTTGTAGTGCAAAATCAAAGAAAATAAGGTAAATTTTGAAATAAATATAAATTATAATTTGCACGTACTGCCATGGTTTTGCATCAGTGCAAATAAATGCACAGTAAAACCAAACACAGCTTGATGGAAATGTAGAAACAGGAATTTAGTAGGAATTAATCTGCCATAATATGATTTCATGTTGAAAGAATTTATTGTAAATCTATTTAATAGCCAATATTTTCAGTGGACATGCAATTTCATGTTTGTAAGTGGTATTTTGGTAACAGCTGCAGTGGTTGAGTTGAATGACTTGTTGCTTTGTCTCTTGACAAATAAATTGTGAGGATGATTTTGAGCTTCTTAATGCATGACTGGAACTGAAATTGAGTTGATTATTATAACATTTGAATATTTTTATTTTATTAGTTGATTACTCTATCCATCAAAAGACATTATCAAACATTTCCCAATTGTCCTTTCGTTCTACTAAGATCCAAACTGACCTCCCATTAATATTTCATGGAGTATTCTTGTATTAAGCTCTGATACAAATTTCCTCATCAATTGAATTGTTATTTCACCCCTGGTGACAGATAGAGATCTCATGTGCTGGGCTGGATTTGCTGCATTCACAAACGTTGAAGAGCGTTCGAGATATTGTATGGCTCCCTAAATTTTTAGATGAAGTGGCGCCCATGAAAGAAAAATCTCACAACTATTTAATGTGTTTGCACTATAGAAAGTGTTGTTCCCTGGAGTACCAGAAATTAATCAATTCCTTCGGTCAATAGCAAGATGTGTGTATCAGGGAGAGAGAATTGTTGATCAGGGTTGGGTTATTCTTGGTCTGCATGGAAATTTCATTCACTATATATACCTGTTGGTGACTTTGGTGAGACGTGAGGGCGTAAACATACTGTGTAGCTATCAGCAGGTAGCAATGTAGAATTGATGCAATGCAAATTTGTATTTCTACGGTGGGTGGCAATGTCAATTCAACAAGGGGTCTTTTTCCCAAGGGAATGTACCAGCCATAGGATCGGTATCAAAAGCTATCATTATTACCATTTGACCTTTCAGTTGGATGATGTTCTAATAAACATCACATCCCTTAATTAACCTGGGATTAGACCTCTTCGCATCCTTTGAAGTTTGAACCCATGGGTACGCCGGAAGCGTGAACCGGCAAAATAAGAATCGGGCATGTCGACATTCAAATTTTGTTCTAATGTTAACGGGCATTAGTAGTTGGAACCTGGTTCTGGACATGGAAGGTAAAAATATCCTTACGGTTAAACTCACTTCTTTGATTTTATTTTGATCTCCTATTTTCCTCTCCTCCAATCCCCAACTCTGAGAAACATCCCATGGGCCATCTCACTACACACTGAATTTTTACTAGCTTTAGTTTGTGGTGGGTCAGATATTGGTGGTTTCATAGGCTTAGGGGTATTTTTCGGTTGTGGTCCTATATGTTCTGCAATTGTGACTACATCTGGTCGTGGAATCGCTGTTTTATCGGGCTTTACGGCCTTGGATGGAGGATCTGTTGGTAGGTGGGTCAGTCTTGGTTGGCTTCTCAATGTTGTACAAATAAAAAATAGAAGGTAGAATGGAACTTATTGGTGAATGCTTTCCAAACCAAAACTCGACAATGTTGTAAAGCTCCACTTGGTCATTCTCCTTAAAATCGTGTTTGCTCTCCTATGGTGTAGTGTAATAAGGTAAATGCAAATCGGATATTAAGATAAAACAACTCATAGGCTATTAGTGGATGTTCACTTGTTTATTAAACCTCTATGAATCACTTAAATATGGATGACTTATAAAGAAGAAATTGTGTTTTGTTCACTATTTTCTATTACTGGGTAGATCAACACTTTATTTATAGAGAGCTTTCGGTCACCCGAACAGATCGTAGATAGAGTGATGTCTTTATCATAGTGCACCTATTCAAAGAGACACAAAGAGGAAGAGGCACAAAGAAGAAAACGTTTAACAAAGAAAATTCAAATTTAAATGGTCAAATCGGTTACAAACAAAACAGTAAAAGAAAAATGATAGAGTGTGGCGCACACGTGCACCCGCACTTGGCTCGGCACAATGCGCGTGTATGAAAAGCACCCCCAACCCCCCNCCCCCTCACATGCATGTAGTGATAGTAATATACAATGCTTTCCTCCTATTGGTCTCTACCATAGAGGAAGCAAGATTACTAATGTACTCAACTTTATCTCTTTTCCAAACAATGTGGGACAAGAGCTCTTTACCTATATGAAAGAGAGGAGAAGAGAGAAAAAACAAAAACAAAAAATGCAAAGAGAGAGATGAGATTCTTGAAATTTTGTATCTACGTCTAATAATCCCCCACAAGATTCAAAATTACAAGAATGAACAGATAATCTAAGCATCATTGTGAAATAAGTATTCATGGTGATGTCTTTTTGACTTCAATCAACACTTAGGTTTGACAAATTATTTTAAAGTGTACAGGTAGAGTCACACTCCTTCAACCTTTCTTTTGTCATAACTAGCTAATATACTACCCAACTCAACTCACCATTCCTTAGTGATTCTTTTATTTTGGAATATTTCGGCATTATTCCCTCTTTGGAATCATGAGTGTTTTAGAGAGTCAACCCTTAGAGCTATCATAAAAGTGGTCATACTTCACACTCACTTAGGTCAATTATTTAACTACACTGCACACATTGTTCTTAACCGATTAAAAATCTTAGACTTGCTCTTCTCATTCTGTAGTGAGCACTATCTTCGGCATTTATAATGGGGCACAAATTGATAGTGCTTCCCCAACCAATGATTCGTTCTTATCTATTGAACCTAATTCTAGGGATCTCCTTTCACATAGGTTGAGTGTCCATCAACAATGACTTATGTAACAGGCCCCAACCCCATTCCTATTGATGCCTCATAAACCACTTCAGAAGTCTGTGGTTTGGTTAACAAATCATCAGTGTTCTTTTCAAACCTTACAAAATCCAAAGCGATTGTATTTTCATTAAGGTATTATTTTATGAAGTTGTGTTTTAGGTAGAAGTGTCTTCTCTTACCATTATAAGTTTTATTCTTTGTTCTGACTATCGCTGCTTGACTATCACAATGGAGAGATATAGATGAAACTGGTTGTGGCCAAAATGGTATATCTGTCAATAGGTTCCTTAGCCACTCTTCCTTAGACCCTGTCAATTCTAATGCAATGAATTTGGCCTTCATTGTTGAACATGTATTACAGGATTGTTTTACTGATTTCTACGATACTGCTCCACCTCCTAGGGTAAAAACATATCCATTGATAGAAGTACTATCATTTGAACCTGTAATCCAATTTGCATCAGAAAAGTCTTCTAAAATAAAATGAATACTTGAGTAATATAAACCATGGTTTATGGTCCTTTTAAATATTTTAATAATACTAGAGCTTCCTAGTGTTCATATATAGGATTATGAGTATGTTGACATAGTTTTTCTACAGTTATTGCTATATTCGGTCTTGTGCAAATCATTAGGCTTAGTTTGGAAGGAGTACAAATACAAATATGTAGGGTGCAAAACCTTGTATTTTGTATTGTTTTACATGTATTTGTACTATACATATTTGCATTTATACTCTTTCAAATTGAGCCTTAAGTAGGACACAAAACCAATTATATTTGCATACTCCTTTTGTGAAACAGGTTCCCCTACATGTTTTCTTAAGTAAACATTATAGTCAAATGGTGTCTTAATAGGTTTACAATCATAGTGTCCAACCTTTGTAAATAAAATTTCTACATAGTGTGATTGGAAGAAAATGAAATTTTCTTGTTTATAGATTTTAATCCCTAGGATTACATCAGCCTCACCCATGTTTGTGGTGTCAAATTTAGACATTAAGAAATGTTTTGTTATACTCATTTGTTACTAACAGATCATGTCTCTTTTATCATTCATAAACTTGATATAGACGTATCTATCAGAATCATTTTTGTTATACCCATTTGTTACTAACACATTATCAAACTTTTCATAACATTGTTTTGGATCTTGTTTTAAAATATACAAAGACTTGATTAATTTGCACACTTTGTTTTCTTGTCCTGGTACTATGAAACATTTAGGTTATTTAATATAAATTTCTTCTTCTAATTTTCCATTTAAAAAAGCTATTTTTTACATCCATTTGGTGAGCCACAAGTTTGTATTTGGATGCTAAAGCAAACAAGACTCTAATTATAATTAACCTTGCAAACGAGGAATACGTGTCAAAAAAATCTACATATTTTTTTGTCTAAAACCTTCAAGAACTACTCTAGCTTTAAATTTATCTATTGTACCATTTGACTTTAACTTCTTAAATATCCATTTACAATCTAATGCCTTAGTCCAAATGGAAGATCAACTTATTCCAAATTGTGAGTAGTGATCAAAAAGTCTATTTCACTTTTTATGCGTTTTTTTTCCAAAATACTGCATCAAGGGAGGTTATGGCTTCTTAATAGGTTATTAAGCCATTGTCCACAAGAAATGTGAACATTCCATCACCCCTAGTTTGTTTCTTTCCTTTGTTTTTTATTTCTCTTTAAGTCTGATTCTTAGTTACTAGAATCAACATTTTCTTGACTAAGTTAAATACTTTCATCTTTAGCATTTAACTCTTGTTCTTTGTTTCTATTAAAGACATGGGGTGGTTTCTTATTTATTACTTCATTTTTCAATGGGAGTATATTCTCAAAGAATTATACATCTCGGGACTTAATTATTGTATTGTTTTCTACAACATTCTTTATTGTTTTAATTATAAGAAATCTGTAAGATACATCATTTTGTGCATATCCAATAAATATATAATCATAGGTTTTAGGTCCTAGTTTATTTCTTTTAGGTTCAGGTATTCTAACATTTGCTAAACAACCCCAAACTTTTAAATAGTTTAGGTTGGATTTCCTGTTATGCCAAAGTTTAAACGATATTTGTCCTTTCTTCTTAGAATGTATCATATTGTATAGGTGACAAGTTGTTAGGATTGCTTGCCCCACAAGTTCAAAGGTACACTTGAACTAATTAACATAGCCTTCATCATTTCCCTTAATGTTTTGTTAAGTCTTTCTACAATTCCATTAGATTCAGGTTGGTAAGGGGCTATAGTTTAATGTATAATTCCATTTTTTTCAAAGAATTTTCTGATTGTTTCTCCATCATATTCAGTCCCTCTATTAGTTCTAAATCTTCTTATTTTCTTCCCTAGCTAGTTTTCTACTTCAGTTTTATATGTTATAAAAGCTTGTTCAGTTTGATCCTTTGATTTAATAAGAATACTTTTGCATATCTTGAGAAATCATCTATGAAGGTTATATAATACCTTTTTACTCCTCTAGATTCATGAAATTTAAGATCCCTAAATGACTATGTATAAGTTGTAATAATTTAGTTTCTCTTTCTATACATTTATGAGGGTTTTTTGCTTCTACACTTACTTGGCATTTATCACTTGTAAAATCAATAGGGAACATTCAAAAGTCCTAACTTGTATAATCGTTTTAAATAAGGAGAACTACAATATCCTAGTCTAGTATGCTAAATATCAAAAGATTCAACAATATAAGTAGAAGAAGAATCATTTTTATTCATAATAATGTCATAAATATTTAGTACAAATAATCCCCTAGCATTATATCATTTTCCAACAAATACATTGTTTTTAGTTAACATAGCTCTGCTTCAAATGTGAGCTTCAATCCTATTTTGTTAAGGAGTGCACCTGACACCAAATTTCATCTAATATTTGGTACATGAAGCATATCATTAAGCATTAGAATCTTTCCAAAAGCTAATTTTAGGAGCACATTTCCCTTATCGATGACCTTTGAAGTTTGTGAATTTCCAATGAAAACTTACTCTCCTTCAGTTTGAGTTGTGTACTTATAGAAGGAGCCACAATCCCCACATGTGTGCTTAGTAGCACCAGTGTCCACACC